GTGGCCAGTTAATGATGCAGGTTCTATGTATTTGAATTTTGCGTTCATAGAAATAGTGAAAATTACACAAATCGGAAACGGAATTTAAGTTTTACTTTGATTTTATTTTTTTACAACAATTAATCACCCAAAACCATTAAAAGTCTCTACAAATAATCTTTGGTATGTTCGGCAAATTTAATGTCAATATTTAAGTCAATAGGATGTGTAACCACCTCTCTTCCGGTAAAGTTCCATAACACGGCGTCTCATACTCTGTACAAGCCTTCTGAACTATAGTTGTGCAAATTTATTCCATTCATCAACAATTGCCCCTCTTAAATTGCCAAGATTTTGCAAAGGTGGATCTCTGCGATTGAGATTTCTGCCAATGGCATCCCAGACATGTTCGATAGGGTTCAGGTCTGGAGACATGGAAGGCCAAAAGATAGTGTCAATGGCTTCTTGATCTTTGTAATCGGTTACAATCCCTCTCCTGTGTGGTCTAGCGTTGTCGTCCATGTACGAGGGTCTTGACGCAAGTTGGGGATTCTCAAAATGAGGGACTACAATGTTTCTAAGCACCAACTCCCTGTATGTCTGTCTGTTCATGTTACCCTGCAAAGTATGCATACCAGCTTACAACAGTATGAGAAGAAAACCCATACTGTAACACCACGATCAACGATTGCTGTCGTTGGACAATTGTTGTTTTGGTGATAGGCAGTTTTATTTCCCCGCCAAACTCGTATTCTGCCGTCTGTTGGTCGTAACAGAAACTAACTCTCATCTGACCACTGAATATTTTGCAAGGTTCTCATGTTCCATCGTCGATGGTCATTCACCCTTTGAAACCTGATTATACGGTGCCTGGCTGTTAGGGCACGTCTTTTGACAACACGACGTGCTCTTAAGTAGCCTCTATGAAGTCGACGGACCAAAGTTCGAACACTAACACGACCACCTGGAGGCCAGTGGTGTCTAAGCTATGAGACAGGAGTAAATGGGTTGGCTTTAGCACGACCAATAAGTAGTCTGTCATCACGATAGGTAGTTAAACGGGTCTTCCGAACCTTGGTCTATCATTTACAGTTCCTGTGTCAATATGGCGTTGTAAAAATCTGACAATGACGGTGCGATTAACATTGAAATGGTTACTAATGCTCCTAGTGCTCCTACTGGCATTTGACATGTCAATTGCTTGTCAACGTTCAGTCACAGATAACTTACCGCTTACCATATTTCACAGTGACTTGGTGAAGGTCAAATTTCACCTGTACGCGGGATAGTAGGAAGATGATTTAAAGGCATCGAAACAGTGTGTTTGTAAAAGTGCAGATGACCTTTAATAAAAGGTTGCTTGGCGAGTATATCGGAGTTTAATTTTTTTGGTCGTAATGAATTTTCTTAGTGTATGCTATAGGCAATTCATAACACCAAACATAAATATTTTTTTCGCAATAGTTACAAAAATATTGATAGTTATATTTAGGTGGTGCTTAACTTATGGCGGACTGTATATGTAGTGCCATTAAAAATATTTGCCTGCTAACCCCTACTTTTCTTTTCATAATTTTATTATATATAGTTTAAAAAGCCATTTTTTTTAAATCTTATAAATCCTTTTCCCGCCAAATTTTCAAAGGTTTATATCTCGAAAACAAGCACACGGAACCTTATTTTTTTCTGCTTTTTTAGTTCCTTTATTCATGTACTATCAATTTATAGCATCTTTTAAAAAGCGTGTTACTTTGTTAACATAGTAGCGAACATCCTTAATACGTCACAGAATTCAAATGTACGAAACTATTGCATGTAAAGTAAATATACAAGTGCATGTATGTGAATGAGGCTCTAGTTGAGATCATTTAGCCAATAGCGAATGTTTGGTGCTTGACATGACGTACATGTATCCACTGTAATGAGTCTGGCTATTCATCCAATCCTACACATGCACGCTCTCGTTTATCGAGGAGAGACTCTCTCCTTTTAGAAGTCAGCGTGAAATATTCCGAACGTTTCATGTGAAGGGCATCAGAAATTAGAATTCCATGTATATTGACCTTTGTGATTTGTTGCACTATGTAAATGATATGTTTAAGAACTTGAATGCAGATATTATATTGACAACATTTTTGTACATGAACATGATGAATGGAAAACATAATTATGCCGTAATTCCATATATATATTTTTTATATTTTATTATACTCGTTTACGGAATGATGGGTAAAAGCAAATAACAACATAATTATTTAACTTTATATTTTTTTCAGAATCTTTTCATTAATATTTTAAACTTCCGCTATAGCATAATTGTGTGTATTGCAATACATTTGACGTCCTTGTTCTGTTATTGTCTTGATAAGTATCTGTCTCATTGACATATATAACCCTGATCTAAATTATTGTATTCATATATTGTACTACCTCAAGCGTTAAACAACGTAAACACTTACTATATGCATCATAGCTTATTTTCTATTTACTATGAGAGTCTGATTTTGATTGTTGATAAAGGATAAAAAAAATATTCTAATAACCTCATGTATTAACTCATTTAACAATTTCACATTGCATACTATTATAATTACATTAGATGTATGTTTCATTATAATACGTTATTCTGATTGGCTAACTGCAATTTTGCGTTATTCCTAAATCAACTTCATTACACAATAAAATGTATCATTCATGATGACACGAGGTCCCACAATAAAGTGCACAGGTAAATTAAATAAAAACTTGATAAAAATCGTGTTTTCATGATCCTAGCTAAAAAATGTAATTAAAAGTATTGAAGCCTTCTTTTTGTAACTTCATAGGGTTGTAAAAGAGTTGACCGTGCGCACATTTTTAGAATGAAGCGCTTCAGCGCTTCATACAAAATGTACTTCGGTCAACGCTTATACACCCCAATGAAGTTACAAAAAGAAGCATTCAATTCTTAAATATAAGAAGATTAGAAGGAAATCGATTTAATATAATACAGCGATCATAGATTCCATGGTCGTGCTGTCGTGTCGCTTGTCATCGAGTTTCAGTCTGTAGTTCAAGGTTTTTGAGACATCAACCACTTTTTCAAAGATTTACAGTTTTTACGAAACTTGGACGTTTTTGTTTCCGTATTTTACTCATATATGAACGTATTTTTTCTGCAGTTAACTTTAAGATAGAGACTGTTATGAAAGTTTACTAGACAAACATTACTGTTAAACTTTCATTTCATTTTACGAAACTTTGATAGATTCTGAAGCTTCTTCTTGATCAAGAATTAGCATCTGTCTAACATTTTAATTTGTTTCCTTTTCTTTCAAGGTAATAAATTAAGCATTTTGTTGTTAGATATTTTAATATTTTCTTTATAGATATAAATATAATGGTTGTCGTTGGTTGTTGTCAGCTGTCATCACTTTATTTCGCGTGTTGTTGGATGATAATACAGGTCGTTGGTTTATCTTATGACGTCTTATACTAAATCTGTTGGTGGTGTATAGACTGATATTTGAGTTTGAGAAAAACAGTTTATGTATTACATTGTGTAGATGACATTGTGGTTTGAACTAGCTTTCATTAACTTCAACTACCCTTAGATCGGTATTTTGTGTCTTTTGATATTAATTTTGGTGCTTATTGCAGATTTCATGAGCAAACTCCTTTCTTAAACGAACAACACGACAGATGCCACATGTGGAATTGGACCTACCTGCCCTTCCGGAGCACCTGGTATCATCCCTTGTTTTTGGAGGGGTTCGAATAGCTCAGTCTTTAGTTTTCTATGTTGTGTTTTAGAGACGGTTTGTCTTTTCGTAATTTTAGTTTTTTGCTATGTCTTTGTCATTTTGCATTTGACTTATTAGTTTGGATATTCTTCTGGTATCATTCGAAACTATTTCCAACTGATTTGTACTTTTACAATGTGTTCATATATTTTGTTGGCACTTTTTAGGAAAACATATGAAAAAAGGAGCCCGAAATAAATGTAGTTTAATATTTCAGTGAAATAAAATTTATATAAACTTTGCTAAATCCGCACTCCCTTGATACTTTCTTGGTCATGTCAGTCAGAAGTTCATTCTGTACAAGATATGTATGCAATCGAATGTGGGTTTTTTGTTGTTTTTTTTTTTTTTTTTGCTAGCAGCAAATCTGGATCAATAGTTAGCAAAGTGTTTTACCACTAAACAATTTACTGCAAGGAAAGTATTCATAAAAGAAATAAGTAGAATTGGATATCAAACATTGTAAAAAGAGGGATATAATAATATATAGTTATTTTCTAGCATTATTTTATTGAAAAGGGGATGCGAAAGATACCACAGGGACATACAAACTCATAAGTCGAAAACAAACTGACAATGCCATGGCAACAATCGAAAAACGACGAAAAGACAAATAACAGTACACAAAACACAAACATAGAAAACTAAAGACTGAGCAACACGAACCCCCCCCCCCCCCCCCAAAAAAAAAAAACGAGGTGTTGTGTTCTGTACATCAGCACTATTTCTTTTTTCCTCCAGCATGTATAATTATCTTAGATTCCATTCCTCTAATTAACATTTTTGTTCGAACATGTCGAACGTCTTGTTTTCCTGTTACTATGTATTAGATACACATTGAGGGCGTTATCTAATTTACACCAAAGATGTTATTTTCAATGCAGAATGATAATTTTCAATAATTTAGGAGGGGGGTCCTTTCAGCGATTTGATCGTATGTTATTGAAAAGCATGATAAATTCAGGATATCCAATTTCATTTTTGACGACATCTTGGTGTAAATACTTATGCAGTGGAATTCGAAAACAAATACTCGAGCTGATTCTAGTCATGAAACTATGCATATATTGTCGTTATTAATTAGTCAAGCCAACTCCTTACTGCGTCATCTTAATTACATCTACATTCATCTCCATGATCTTTACCATCACTGTACTTGTTTTTTTTCTTTTTTACTGCAATGAAGTGCTAGAGGTCATGTAACCTGACAATGTTTTTATATCTAGTGGTGTCACGTGATATTGTTGATTACAAGGTTATTCTTATTATATGCATATTCAACTTCACAATATTGACAAAGTTTTTGTTTCAACGGGTGCGTTTTTTTATTTGACTACTAATTTTGATATTGGATGGCGGAAAAGACTGAGAAAAGGGTAAGAAATTTACAATGCGTTAAAATAAATTATCGAAATCTCATCATCACCTGATTCAGCGTGTGATTTTCCTAAAATAACTTTGAACAAAGTATTGTTCTTAAAAGTTTTATGTTTATTCTGTCGCGCTGAATTCCGCATCGAACATAATTGTGCTATCAATTGGAACTCAGTCAATCGCACTAGGAGGACAATTTATGGCAAGTCGTTTTACTATTTATTCTAACTTCAAGATATCTAATAAACTTTATAAGATATCTCATATAGTTTATAAGTTATCTTATATAGTTTATAGTTTATAAGATATCTCATATAATTTTCTTTATAAGATATCTTATAAATTATATGCGATATGTTATAAATTATATGAGATATCTTATATATTTTATGAGATATCTTGGTGTTAGAATAAATAGTAAAACGGCTTGCCATAACAATTTGTTAAGAAAAACTGCGAAGTAGAACTCTACTTAAGACCTTGATAAATTCGGCAATGGACATTTGAGCGAAATGGCAGGACATTTGAGCGATTAAAAAAGCCGTTTGAGCGCCAAAGTATAGGACATTTGAGCGCCGAAATTGTAGGACATTTGAGCGAGAATTTTTTTTTTAAGAAAGTGATGAAGGAGTACCTCTTCCGTTCGCCACATATAATCTGTTACCCTTGCTCACCACGGGGAGGTGGAAGTAGGATTTCGAGCAGGATATAGTTATAAAATGTGGAGTTTATTACGCACAAAGTTTAAAACCTTTTTTAATCGTAAAAAAATACAAAGCACTATTATAAAACTTAAAATTCGGCAATGGCATTATTTTCAAGTCAGTTCGGGCTTGAAATTTATATCCTAGGCTTCTGACATAAAAATCCTTCGTTATTTCCTGCTGCCAGTACAGCGAATGAAGTCCAGAAGATTCTGTTCCTTCTCCTTGTCTGTTCGGGTATGAGGTTTGATTGGTAATTAGAGATCAACTCAGGACTACACTACCATTAACTAGCCAGAATCGGTCGAATTACTCGGGTGTAACATCAAATAAAACATATTTATTTTAAAAACTTACTTTTTTTTCTTACTTTTTAAAAATAGTTTGGTGGGGTTCGTGTTGCTCAGTCTTTAGTTTTCTATGTTGTGTTTTGTATACTGTTGTTTGTCTGTCTTTTTCTTTTTTAATGTCATGGCGTTGTCAGTTTATTTTCTACTTATGAGTTTGAATGTCCCTTTGGTATCTTTCGACTCTCTTTTCTTAACTCATAAAAGTATCACAGGAAATTTCGCTCAAACGTTATATTTGAAAATCCAGGTAAGGCTAATATTCCGGCGCTTAAATGTCCTATGATGTCGGCGCTCAAATGACCCTATGCGCATTTTTTTTTTTCTTTCGCTCAAATATCCTAGTATGCCCGATAAATTTAACATTTTTGCGTATTAAAATAATATGTTATACTATTGTTTATTCACTATTATTCGTGGATAACTAATTTTCGTTGATTTCGAGTGTTGAGACCCACCACAAATTTAAGTTATCAACGAAACACAAGTTTTCAGTTTAGGAACAAATGACAGAACCATGTAATATAAAGTATCACTGAAAAATCAACAGTGTGGTAAAGGACGAATATTGGCACCACCAAAAATAAATGAATCCACAGTTTTGCATTTTTTATCTTCCATGACGATGAAATTATCAAACTGTTAAGAACCATCTTTAATTTGTCAAATCTATAACAGGTACATGTGTAACTAGTATATAGTTTCTTAGTTTTACTACTATACTGAAGGGATATCGAAAAAGCAAATAACTAAAACCGGAAAAAGAAAGTCTCTCCTGTCCTGACTGTCATCACACTTGTATTTATTTTTTTAGTATATTAAATAAGATATCTTATAAACTAAATAAGATTTCTTATAAACTAAATAGGATATCTGATAAATTAATCATACATGTATGTAGCTTATAAGATATTTAATAAAGTAAATAAGAATTCTTATATATTTCAAAAGATATCTTATAAACTATACAATATATCTCGTATATATATAATTAAGTTTAAAAGTTATCTTCTAAAGTTGATACGATATCTTATGAAATATATAAGATATCTAGATATCGTATTAAGTATATAAAATATCTTATTAACTTCAAGTTGAATAAGATACATATCTCATAAAGAATACAATATATCTCATACAATATATCTCATAAAGAATACAAGATATCTCATAAAGAATAAAAAATATCTCATAAAAATTACAAGATATCTCATTAAGAATAGCAGATATTTCATAAAGAATGTAAGATATCTCATAAGAATACAAGATATCTCATAAAGAAAACAAAATATTTCATAAAGAATGTGAGATATCTCATAAAGAATACAAGATATCTTATAAACTTTATGAAATATCTTATTAACTTAGTTAGAGATCTTAGATTTTAATTATTATAAAAACGACTTGCCATACATCATGATACATACATGCATTGAAAAGTGAACATATAAACATAGGCCATGTGGAGTAATGTTTTTTACATTAGCTGGTAGAGATAAGACACGTAAACATAATAGCGTCTGGCCATGAACAGCAAGTAGTACTATACAAATGTACATGTTAATGAAGTCTTTCAATAATTGGTGAGTTGCCATCCACTCATGTCAGCATAGTATTTATCTAAATATAAAAAAGATCTCAAGAAGTTAAGTATGAAAAAATAAAGATTGTTTGACTAGTACTAATTCAATGTTAAGAACAAACAAAAAGTACCATGATGTTAAAAATGTCTTCCTATCATACATGTATCATATAATACCATATTTTTATGATATGACACAATACTAGAGTAACATATCAATCAAAAAGGTTAAACAGGATTGGGGACAATCACCCACATGGTCTTAATAATCCATTCAGGGTATTAAAACCCAAATGGAATATAAATTTTCAACATTTTTCAGTGCAAAAAATCTTAATTTTTGGATTAAGCAAAAGTATCAGAATGTGTATTTGTTTATGTCAATAGTACCAACTTTTGGTAAGAGACTTTTACAGACTGAAATGAATAAGTTGCTAGATTGATCCCTCTTAAAAACAGAATCTTCCAAGAGATCACAATAAAAAACAACCATGTATTCAGAAAAGTTGCTAACCAAAAGTTGTTGCTCTTTATGTAATAATTTGCAAGTCTTTGTAATATTTTCCTTTTGGTCCAAAACCTGTTAAAGTTGTAGATTTAGAGCCATCCGAGAAGTTGAGACATATGTCGCTTTCATTCATGAAGTTTAAAATGCACTGCATGTAACGATTGTGATTTCTGTTTTTGAATTCCATTTCATTTGTATTTTTTTTTTGTTATATATAATATATGCGTATAGTAGGTTCGATAAGGCCAGATTAAGGCCCCTATTTCTAGCAAAAAAAAATATAAGGATATACTAGTATTGACCAACCCACAATGCAACATAGCTAAACAATGACTAGAAAGGAAACATGTAGTTTGTTGAAAATATTTACGTATAATCGTTTATTCATGACGTTAAAAAAAAATCCAATGAAAATAGGTTAATTTCCACTGATTTTTTGGCCTAAAAACATACAGCGCATGCGTTGACAACAAAGTTTTTTTAGCATTATATAGATTATAACAAATTAACTATTTGAATGGAATATTTATTTTGTGGAGCCCTGTGCTCTATGTTTCCTAGGCCTAAGTTGACTTAAAATCCAGACGATTTTGTGAATTTGTACGAAAAGCTCGCCAGAACAGTTCTATTTCATTCTCCTACATGTCTATTCGTCAACTTTAAACACTTTTTTACCTAGAAACGGTGTATTTAATAATCGTCGTGTCAACCTCTCTCTCTCTCTCTCTCTCTCTCTCTCTCTCTCTCTCTCTCTCTCTCTCTCTCTCTCTCTCTCAGATGAACTATGCAGGACAATAAAATGTAGACAGGACAAAGGACATTATAATATCTGTATTGTATGGAAGGTATTTCTATTACTCTAGCTACATATGTTTGTACCATAAGCTAAAGCGCTACAATAAAGTTCTTGAGCATATGAAATATGAATTAAATGAATATCAGAAATGTCCTTCACACAGTACAGAAAAATAATGCAAACCCATTATTAACGCTCTATGAACTCATTTTTCAATCTCACGTGTATGTCAGAAAACAATTATAATGCATGCCAATATCCAAACAAGAATTCGTTTGATGTTTCAAGATACTATATTTACCAACAGATTAAGATTCCCCAAAAAAACTGTAAAATTGGAAATTACCTACATGTACCTGAGGTCTGGATGGGAAGGGGGGGGGGATTCTTTCAATTCTGTATTCTTTAATCTTTTTACGCCATTTTTCTTTATTCTTTATAAATTTTGCCTATTATTCTCTATTCTTTATATTTTAGCACCTCATTATTCTCTTTTCGTTATATTTTGGCCTATTTTTCTCGATTCTTTGGCAGTAGTCCATTATTCTCTATTATGTAAACACCATCAAGACCTTCCTACATGTATAAAAAAACATTGAACAAGCGGTGGAAATATACGAAAGAGGCCTCCGAACTTTCAAAAATCCCTTGATTTACAAGGTGTATATTCTTGGTATACATATGCTAAAAACGTCTTACCAGACAATAACCTTAAAGACAAAGTGGCCAACTGTAAGAATATTACAGATGTAAACTATTTAAAATCACTAATTAAAAATGAATTAAATGATTATTATAAAGATTTATATAAATGTAAAATAAAAAAAATCGACGAAAGTAGCAAATTTTTTTCTGTATAAAAAACTAAAACCTTCACTTGAGGCAAATTTTTTCTTATTGTTTAATGATTTTTCTAACAGGAATATTTTTGCGTGAACCCCTGAGGGTTCACGCATATATATTAGTTAGAAATATAGTCTATGGAGAAATATTCGGAAGCTAAATTATTGTTCATTCGGAAAACCTATTCATCTTATCTGTATTAGCTTCCTGCACTGATTAAGA